ACAATTGTTATGCTTGAGCCCATCATTGCAACCACTGTGTCAATCTATCTTGTTGAGGGATCTTCCTCTTTTTTGCTGACCCTCTACTTTACCAAGCATGATGTCTATCATGGATTGAATTATGATCCCCCAAAAATGTATGTATCAATTTGGCTGGGCCATGTTCCCCAGTATCCTGTGGTTGTCCTCCATTTTGTGATTGTAATTTTATGTTAAAGAGGATTACAGTGGGATTATAACACCTTACTAAGGTCACATACCTGATCCAATGTAAAGGGAGTTTCCCTAGGATGTGGCCTGCACCAACTTTTATCTTACAAGAGATAAAAGGAAAGGGAAACAAGCAGAGAGTTGGGGACCTCACACCACCAAGAAAGCAGTGCCAGGAGCAGAGCATGTCCTTTGGACCTGGGGTTCTTGTGTGGAGAAGCTCCTAGTCCATGGGAAGATTGATGACAAGGACCTTCCTCCAGAGCTGACAGAGAAAAAGCCTTCCCCTGGAGCTGACACCCTGAATTTGGACTTCTAGCCTACTAGACTGTGAGAAATACATTTCTCTTTGTTGAAGCCATCCGCTTGTGGTATTTCTGTTATAGCAGTACTAGATGACTAACACAATGTCCTTCCCCAGGGACTGGTCCCCCTTGATAACATGTCCAAAGTAAGTGAGACAAAGTCTCACCATCCTTGCTTCTAAGGAGCATTCCGGCTGTATTTCTTCCAAGACAGACTTGTTCATTCTTTTGGCAGTCCATGGTATATTCAATATTTTTCTCCAACATCATAATTTTTATTTTATTTTATTTTTTTATTGTACTTTAGATGAAGGTTTACAGAACAAACTAGCTTCTCATTGTTTTGTGACATTAGTTACCAACCCCATGACATGTCAACACTCTCCCTCATTGACCTTGGGTTCCCTATTACCAACTTTCCTGTCCCCTCCTGCCTTCTAGTCCTTGTCCCTGGGCTGGTGTGCCCCATTAGTCTCATTTTGTTTTATGGGGCCGTCGAATCTTCAGCTGAAGGGTGAACCTCGGGAGTGACTTCATTACTGAGCTAAAAGTGTATCTGGGGACCATCCTCTGGGGGTTTCTCCAGTCTCTGTCAAGCCAGTAAGTCTGGTCTTTTCTTGTGAATTAGAATTTTGTTCTACATTTTTCTCAGCTCTGTCTGGGACCCTATGTTGTGATCCCTGTCAGAACAGTCAGTGGTGGTACCTGGGCACCATCTAGTTGTACTAGACTCAATCTGGTGGTGGCCATGGTAGTTGTAGTCCATTAGTCGTTTGGACTATTCTTTCCCTTGTATCTTGTTTTCTTCGTCAGGGAGTTTGGATGTGTCTATGGAGCTTCCATGACCTTGCTTTGTACAAGTTGTCTGGCTTCCCCAGTATTGTGTACTGCCTTACCCATCACCAGAGTTACCACTTATCTATTGTCTATTTAGTGTTCCCCCCACCTCCCCGCCTCATAACCATCAAAGATTGTTTCTTTTTGTCCAACACCATAATTTAAAGGCAACAATTCTTCTTCGTTCTTCCTTATTCATTGTCCAGCTTTCCCATGAATACAAGGCAAATTGAAAATACCTTAGTCCTCAAAGTAACATCTTAGCTTTTCAAAACTTTAAAGAGGTCTTTTGCAGCAGATTTGCCCAGTGCAATGCGTCTTTTGATTTCTTGACTGCTGTTTCTATGGGCATTGATTGTGGATCTAAGTAAAATGAAATCCTTGAAAACTTCAATCTTTTCTCCGTGTATCATGATGTTGCTTATTGGTCCAGTTGTTAGGATTTTTGTTTCCTTTATGTTCAGGTACAATCCATACTGAAGACTGTAGTCTATGAACTTCATCAGTAAGTGCTTCAAGTTCTCTTCACTTTCAGCAAGCAAGGTTGTATCATCTGTACAACGCAAGTTTCCTCTAATCTTGATGCCGCGTTGTTCATATAATCCAGTTTCTCAGATTATCTGTTCAGCATAAAGATTGAACAAGTATGGTGAAAGGATGCAACCCTGGCACACACCTTTCCTGACTTTAAACCATGTAGTATTCCCTTTTTCTGTTCGAATGATTGCCTCCTGGTCTAGGTACAGGTTCCTCATGAGCACAATTAAGTATTCTTAAATTCACATTCTTCGCAACTTTATCCATAATTTGTCATGATCCACACAATGGAATGCCTTTGCATAGTCAAGAAAACTCAGGTAAATATTTTTCTGGTATTCTCTGCTTTTAACCAGGATCCATCTGACATCAGCAATGATATCGCCAGTTCCATGTCCTCTTCTGAATCCAGCTTGAACTTCTAGCAGTTGCCTGTTGATATACTGCTGCAACCACTTTTGAATGATCTTCAGCAAAATTTTACTTGAGCGTGATATTAATCATATTATTCGATAATTTCTGCATTCTGATGAATCACCTTTCTTTGGAAAAGGCACAAATATGAATCTCTTCCAGCTGGTTGGCTAGGTAGCTGTCTTCCAAATGTCTTGGCATAGACAAGTGAGCACTTCTAGTGCTGCATCTTTTTGTTGAAACATTTCAACAAATGCAGTGCAGCTTGGACCTCTTCCTTCAGTACCTTCATTTTTGATCATATGCTGCCTCCTGAAATAGCTGAATGTTGACCAACTCTTTTTGGTACAGTGACTGTGTATTCCTTCCATCTTCTTTTGATACTTCCTGCATCATTCAGTATTTTCCCTGTAGAATCCTTCAGTACTGTAGCTTGAGGCTTGAATTTTTTCTTCAGTTCTTTCAGTTTGAGAAATGTCAGATGTGTTCTTCCCTTTTGGTTTTCTAACTCCAGGTCTTTGCACATTTCATTATAATACTTTAGTTTGTTTTCTTGAGCCACCCTTTGAGATCTTCCGTTATGTTCTTTTTTATTTTATCATTTCTTCCTTTTGCTTTAGCTACTCTATGTTCAAAAGCAAGCTTCAGAGTCTCTTCTGACATCCATTTTGGTCTTTTATTTCTTTCCTGTCCTTTTTAATGGCATTTTGCTTTCTTCTATCTATCCTCTTGAGTTCTCCTTTTCCTTAAATACATTGTGTGAAACCATAGAAGGCAATTAAATCTCTTGACCAATATTTGTTATTCATTTTCATTTTTCTTATTCTCCTTCAGCGTCACCTCATGAAGAGCAAAGTGAAGCAGCCTGCATGAGTTCAACATGTCACAGTGCAACAATCAAGATAAAAATGTCTTTTTATTTTCTCTGGTATCTCTACATCCGGCTCCCTGTGACCACTTCCAATCTCTGTAATCCTTTGAAATGTATGTGCATTAGCTGATGGCTATAGTGGCTAGATAAATGGAAGTAATTGTCTATTTTGAAGTAGACAAAAAAATAAATTTAGAAGGAATCCCCTCTTTCCTGTTTTATTTTTCCAGTTTGGACAGGGGAGGATGGGAACATAAGGCTGTGTTTTCTTCTCATTCTCTTTATTTTGCTTGATGATTGCATATTCTTTGCCTTTTATTTATTTCATATAACTTGAGAGTGTGTGAAAATGAATTAATATCTTTCAATACCTATAATAAATACATCATTAGTACCACAATTACCTAAAAAAATATGATCATTGTCTCCATTTTAGTTATGAAGAGACTAAGTTCAAAAGTCATCTGCCTTTGTGACTTAATTAAAGTGATTGAAGAATAGATTTCTGACCTCTTAAAATTTAGACTATTTCCATAACAATATACTTCCATCTTAAGAGTATTGATATAGTCTTTCTTCTAAATTGTTCTTTCAACCTTCATGTGCAAACCTCACATATTATAATGCAAGAGACAGTTCCATCCACCAGCTCACTCTGTCAGTGAGAATAAACTGGAGAAAAGGAAGTGAATACAGAAAAATGAAGTCTGCCATCTTTTATTTGTAATTGTTTTCAGTTTCATGTATTTTATTATTTTTGTCTGACTCTTCTTGTTTAAAAATTAGTATCACTGAATGAAAACTGCTGCATGTACTGTTTCAAGGCTATTTTACAGAACCACAGATCCTTTGGAAGAAGGGACATTTTATTATATAAAGAAAAAATAATAATAATAATAGGCCTGTTTTTGTAACACTCAGTATGCTATTAATACCCAATTGATATCAAAATATTATAACTTCAGGTTAAATTCAGTTGTTTTTCCTGGTTTCAATCAGGCAGCTACATCATTTCCTACAGCTATTTTTTTTCCCAATGTCAAGTCATCTCATTACTGTACTTATTATTCTGTTAACTCTTCTTCATTACTACGTTATTGATGTCACCTTTAGTATTATCTATAAAACATGTTTTTTAAATCTCCTTGCTAAATCTCTGATCTCCCCCCAGAGAAGAAAATGCAATTTTCTTTTATATGTGCTCATTGGCATAAGGAGATGGCTAGTGAAAAGTAAATTCAAAGCTCAAAATCTATTAGATTGAAATCATCATTTTAACTATATAAAGCACTCTAAAGAAAGATGAAGTATGAGGACCAAAAAACTGGAGGGAAAATTACGTGAAACTGGGCAATATTCAATTTGTTTTATTATCCAGTCTTCTCTTTTCTTTTTCCTGAAAACAGTTCCTACTGTAATAAATAGAAGGAATGTCAAAAGCCATAGGGTGGTAGTAGACTCCACTTCACAGAACAGTAATAAAAAGATACCCCTGTTCTGAATGACTCACAAACAAAAATATAATGAGTTAATTTGTGGGAACAGAAATAACTATCCAGAGATGTAAATGATGAGCATAGTCATGCAATGGTTAAGTTAGCTGGATACGGGCTAGCTTTTTCCGCTTTATTTTTAGAAATCTTTAATCATATTTAAAACTTTTTGTATGGATTTACAGTACATAAAAATGTACATAGGGCTGAACGGCAAATGTTGCATTGAAGAGGAATGAATGGGAGAAATGATTTTTACTATAGTAATTGTCAGCAAGTGAACTAAAGAGTTCCAGTTCCATGCAGGAGTAAATGCAATGTAATATGCATTACCGCAGAGATCTCCTTCATCAGACCCATCAGGACAATCCCTTCTCCCATTGCAGAGTTTCTCTGGCTGCAGGCACACCGAAGTGTCATTAGCACAAGGGTACTTGGGTGGTCCACACAAGAAACTCTCACAGTCATCTTCATCTGACTGATCTTCACAGTCAATATCTCCATCACATACCCATGCTTTGTTGATGCATCTCCCTTAAGAAAACAGAAACAGTATGCATTTGATTTTTGTAATTAAGTCTCTTTAACAATGGGTGGCCATTATTGTCTTCAGTCAGACAGAGCAGAACTGCTTGCCATTAGCAAGAAATCTATTTGCTGAACGTTTGACAGTTTGTTTTCATGACAGAATTTGAACAGTGCTTGCCCTGGTTGTTAATGTGCTCCCAGTGTTAAATCCTTGACGTTTTCTTTAGTTTCAAATTATTGCCCTGCTCTATTAAAAAAAAAAAGAAAGTTTCTGTGATTAATTAAAAGTTTAATTGTGATACTTTTAGAAGCAAACTTTCAGAATACGTTTTGTGTGCCAGTGCCTTTCAGAGCCCTTAGTTTAGGTAAATGCTTTATTTTAGCAGAAGTCATCCTTCTATTCACATCTATAAACCTCAATCTCTCAACCCTTCATACCAGACATGCCGTCTCATAAGAGAATATCTTACATAACAAATTGTTCAAGAATAGATAATTATGATTAAAATTGCATGTTGTTAAACATTTTGGTAGCTAACATATACATAGACTGAATTTATAGAAATAAGGTTTTCTTTATAAACTTTGAAAGAAAAAGAAAAAGACTATTGTTTATTCAGAATGTTACAAAAGTAACAATGAGAAACGCATAGAGAACAACGGTCATTGTTGCCTATGTAAACCTTTTCACTGCAAATTATTCCTTTCTAGATTGTTTGCATTTTTCTTCTAATTCATCCTCTTTTCTGTATTATACAAAGTAGAAATGTAATGGGAATAAAAAATGTTCCTAAAGACAATGGTTACTGGCTGACTACATATTAACATCTCACAAAATGAGTGGGGCAAATAAAGGGGAAATGTAAAATATTAGTTAGATTGCATATGTCCAAGAGTCATTACAAATTTAAATATTTTCTCATATTACAGGGGCTAGTAATTTTAAAATAATTAAAATATTGGTGCAAAGATGTTTTCTTTATAGAAATAATAAGTCAAATGAGAAAAAATCAAAGTAAATGTCATAGTTCATAAAAATACATTTGATGATGATCAACATTAATTATTGATACAAAAAGACTCATAAAGTAAGAATTGATGGACACTTTACTAATATTTTATATATGATTGGAGAAACACTATAAACTTTCGCCTTAAAACAAAAATATAATTAATAAAATTATTTAATATTTTTTGGAAATACTATCTAATGCAATTAGATAAGAGAAAAAAATGAGATGTAAAGCTTAGAAAAGAGAAAGTAAATGTATCACTATATGTGGCTAATAAAATTATATAATTAGAAAATTAATTAAAACTAAGAACTACAAGAAACAAGTAATCCAATAAATAGGTAGTAAAAAAAAAAAAAAAAATCCTTTGCCATCGACTCAATTCTGACTCATAGCAACCCTATAGGACAGAGTAGAACTGTCCCATAGGGTTTCCAAGGAGCGGCTGGTAGATTTGAACTGCCCATCTTTCGGTTAGCAGCCGTGCTCTTAACCACTGTACCAGCAGGGCTCCAAAATATTTAGTAAGCTTCAAAAATTATACAAATACTCATACCCACTGCCATCAAGTGGATCAGACTCATAGCAGCCCTACAGGACAGAGTGGAACTGTCCCAGAGGGTTTCCAAGGAGCGGCTGGTGGATTCAAACTGCCGACCTTTTGGTTAGCAGCCAAATGCTTAAACCACTGCACCACCAGGGTTCCACAAATACTAATAGATTATTATATACAGAGAACATAGAGGAAAAGATCAATTAAAAAAAGTCTACCTAAAAAATAAAGTATTTTAGGATAAACTTCACAAAACTGTATAGAATTTATATGAAGAATATTCAAAATTCTACAAAGTAACCCAAAAGAGTCTTTGAATAAAGACATCAGTTGGTCTTGAACAGGAAAACAATACTGTAAAGTTACTAATTTCCCCTAAATTAATATGATCCTAATTAAATAGTAACAATATTTTTACAACCCTATAAGCTAATCTTAAAATTCATTTAAGAAAACAAAAATGCAAAAATCATTAGAATTCTACTAAAAAGAAACAGAAAAAAATTATGATCAGTAATTGTATATACCAAATATTCAGAAACATTTTAAAGTAACAGTAGATAAAATAATTTTATAACAGAATATCAAAGACCATATCAATACTAGCATAGACACCAGAAATAGAATCATTTATGTACACTATTTTAATATACAAAAAGTTGGTAATTAAAAACAGTCAAGAAAATACTAATTACCAAATTAATAATGTTAGGATAACTCACTAATTATCTGTAGGAAAAATAAAATGGAATCTCTACTTGACTCCTCACACCAAAATAAATTCTAGATGAATCAAAGGGATAAGCATTTTAAAATAACAATAATGAAGACATAAAGATTCTAAAAAATATTTTTAGAAGACTTAAAATGATAATAAAACAAACCCAGAAACCATGAAGAACAAGTTGATAAATTTAATTTCATAGATGTTTTGCATTCTACATTGCAACAATAAAATCTACAAAGTTAACCTACAATCAATAAACCAGAAAAAATATCTCTCTGTATTTGACAGAAGGGGAGCATATTTCCTTAAAACACAAAAGGCTCATTCAAATCAATAAGTTAAAAACCAATGACTCAATAAAAGTGGCCAAAATTCACAATGGAATAATAATGGATTACAAACATACAATGTTTAAAATCACTTGCAATTAAAAAGAAGAAAACTAAAATAATTTTATATCTTTTCTTCTCTATCAAGTTGACCAAGATCAAAACATTTGATAATTCATTGATAGCTCTTCATCGATAACTCTTCACCACAGTTATTTTACTTCTAGAATTGCTTCTGTAGTTGTTGATATATTTGCACAAATGCACAAAGGTGATTATGTAAGGATATATATCGCTGCTTTGTATATATTAGCAGAAGATTGGTAACTATTTAAATTTTCATCAGTTTGAGATTGGTGCCATAAATTACAACGCATCCATACATTAAAATTTTATTTTTGAGTGAAAAAGAATGAGGCAACTCTGCATTAATTAATATAAAACAATCTTCAAAATATATCAGCACAAATATAAAAAGCATAGAACCGAGTTACGGTAGGCCTTCTTATATGTTAAAAGGAATTTATCTGTTTATCAATGACTATCTATCCATACATATATTAATATAAGTACATGGATAGGCTCTTCTATACATAAATTATTTCTGGAGGGCTACACAAGAAATTGCCTGTGGAGTGAAAGACTGAGGTACAGGAAACCTGGGGCAGGAGGAAGATTAACTTTTCACTGAATACTCTTGTTTTGTTCTATTTTTCCTACTACCAGATATCTGCCTAAATTTTCAAAAAAAAAAAAAACTAGCTCATTTTAAAAAATGATGAGGGTGAAATACATAGCATTATACCATGAAGTCAGAGATTTTCTATAAATCTATTATAAAAAATTCTGTGTTGAGGTTACTCCATGCCTTATGCTTTTTGAGGGACTTTTGGAAATTTAACGAAGCATCAACTTGTTCTCTGTCACGAAGGAGCTTCTAATCTAGATGGCAAAACAAGATTGATGCACAACACACAATTGTAGTCTAACATATGACAGTCTGCAATGAAGTATTAAATTATATGGCATCGTCTGCAAGCACAATAGAAAGAAGGGAGAGTTCAAAACTAATATAGTAACTTCATTTTTTGGTATGGTAAATCAGGACATAACTTCCTTTTTTCACCCCAGACATCACTAATCCATCATGATATCCTTAAGGGTTGACTGTTAATTGTTCCAGCAAACCATCTATAAATCGTTATCAATCATTTAGAGTCAGCATTGAGGTAATACCTATTTACCCTCCCTGACCTAAATGCTACCTGGAAAAGGAAAAGACAAATCATACTCAGATGACTGTAATTAATTCAGATTATGCTATCAGAGATATGAATAAGTATGCATATATACCTTAGATAAAATTTAAAACTTTAAATACCCACTCCTTACCAATGATTTTGCAGGGAATGTTTGAGGCTTAACTGCTTCTCCCATTCTGGGATGTTTGGTTTCTTTTTTTTTTTTTAAATGTAGATAAGAACACATCCTAGGTGTGATAAATTTAAAATTTCTAATTCATGACAATTAATTGGGTGAAACCCAAAAGCAACCACCTCAGTAAATATGTTTAAATAATGTTATTTTTACTTGATTTATATTATTTATATTTACCTTTTGTATATATGTACTCTTTATTTACCCAATTATGAGTCACGTCATTGGACATAATTTCCGAAAGAACAATATTGTAAATATCCTTGTTTAACCTCCCTCTTTCATAGGGAAATTGACGTTTTGGTCAAATTGGTATTATTAAAATAATAATAATGAATAATATTAAAATATTATAGTAATTGTAAATATTTAATACTTAAAACTCAATCTTTAATATTATTTTTTTCAATGTACATAATTAAGTTCAAAATAACCAAATAAATCACTTTGCATTTACTAATTCTTCCTTTAAAATACATTACATGCTGAAAATAATATTGAGTGATTATTACATAGTTGGGAGCCCTGGTGTCGCAGTGGTTAAGAGTTTGGCTGCTAACCAAAAGGTCGGCAGTTCGAATCCACCAGGCACTCCTTGGAAACCCTATGGGGCAGTTCTACTCTGTCTTACAGGGTCACACTGAGTCAGAATTGACTTTACAGCAATGGGTTTGGTTGTTATTTATCATCAAGTTGAGTTCTGTATAACATTTTCTGAATTCTTTTAATGACATTTTTCAACTTGATAACTACGTGTGCAAGACACTATTATGGTAATTGTAGCTTTGTCTTTTATGTAAGGAAAATAAGAATGCCCAAGTAACAAACAAATGCAGAAATAGTAAACAGCAGCATGCTGGTACAATGACAGCTGCTACAATTACACACACACACACACACACACAAACATTATAAGATTTTCTTGATTTGTTTTACCTTGAAATATA